GAGCTCTCACAGCTAGCTCCAGCAGCAGAAGGGTGCCAGGCACAGCCGGCGTGCCTGATATCAACCATTGCCAGGAGCCAGCTGGGGTTCACATCGATCCGGGGCACTGCAAGGGCTCCTGCCTTCTCCCAGCATCTCCCCCGCTGGTAGCTAACCCCCTTTTGCGGTCAAGTGTGTCGGCTGCCCCTAGCTGAGACCAGACCCCTGCCCTCCCACCCGTGCCTGCTCCCCTCCCTCCCCAGCTAGTTGTGTTTGTGGTGAATTCAGCAGGAACCTGGACCCTTCTGGGGTTATTCTTGCTCTAAATAGAGGACCCCGATGCTGGGATTGGGTCCCAGGATGGGAGACAGGCTTAAAACCACATACAATGGCAGGTCCCATTGCTGAGATCCGAGCCCCAAGGTGCCTCCCCAACCCTGGGCATGCAGGAAATTTGAGGGAGAGCTGGGGGAATCCACTGCTTAATGACCACATGGATGCTGCGTTGTGACGTTATCTAATTACCTGCATGTCTCAGATGATTAATAAATTAAATTCCACCCCTGGGGCTGCTGTCCTAAAGTGCAAGCAGAGCCCGTGGCTCTCTGCTGCTGGCAGGCAACATCCAGACATCCCATCGTGTTCACCTGGGACCAGCAGCCCTCCCATGACACATGGTTCCTGAGGGCTCTGAAAATGCCTTGCAGGGAGGTCTCAGTGACCATCAGCAGAGGAAAAAACACCAGCTGGCTGAGGCATGGGCAAGTCACCTCCACAATTGTTTTCTGCCGGTCTCAGCCCTTTGGAAATTCCCTGCCAAGGCAGCTGCTGAGCCTGGGAGAGATGCTCCAGGCAGCCCGGGACAAGCTGGGTGCTCTTTGCTGCCCCAGAGGTTGCTCCCATACTCCTGTGTGTCTGCCTAAGCCAAGATCTAAAAGGGGTTTAGGTTTTGTTTTTCATTCTCCTGGCATGATCTCCCCACAGCACAGAGCTGCCTGCTGCAGGGCACCAGGGTGTTTATCATCTGTTTAAAATTTTTAATTATTTTCATGTTAAGCACCTGATGGTGTCTCTTGGATAGAAACAGGAGGGATCTAGCCTTCCCTCCTTCCCTGTTTCCCTCCCTGCCCTCTTTCCTTCCTCTCTTCCTCCCTCCATTTCCTCCTTCCTTTCATCCTTCCTTCCTTCCTCTCTTTGTCCCTGCCTCCCTTCCTTCCCTTCTTCTCCCTAAAAATTTACTAATGTCCTCCTTATTACATTCCTAAAAGCCTCATTCAGTCACAGGCAGCAGCAGGCAAGGAGAAACTCGACGATAAGGGCAAAAACAACAGTAAAACTGGAATGAAATGACAGCCATAAACCCAGTACCAGGAGGGACAGTAAAACTGCAGTTTGGCAGGAGCCAGCAGGCCTGCACTAATACCGTTTTTTTCTGATTAAAACACTCTGGTCACAGATTAACTTCCTTTGCTCAATATTTATTGTATCACCTGTGCTGGAAGGCAGGGAGGAGAGGAAGAGTGGTGGGCAGGATTGGGAATCTGCAGCAGGTCTGCAGCTCTGCAGCCTTTGGCAGCTGCCTGGGACATGGACACACACTCAAAAGTGACAAACGTGCCTCCAGCAGTTACCCTCCATCATTGAGTGCTCTGCACACCAGGGCAGTATCCCGAGTAGCATCCTAGGACTTACCCGTGGCTGCAAGAGTCACTGTCAGAGCTGGGGATGCTCTGAGTCTCCCAAAAGTGCAGGACAGGGGCGATGATGAAGACAGGCACTGCTATAACCTGGGCGATCACATTGATTTGTCTCAGTCAAACCAAAGCCCCAGCAGCTCTGGGGAAACCACATCCCTGGGTAGACTGACCCATTTGTTTCAGTGGCAACAGAAAATGGGATGGAAATGAGACTAAATTCCTGGCCACCCCCCCCAAGCATCTCTACATCTCTGCATCCCCCACTGGGCTTATCCGTCGCTCCTTGCAGAGCGCAGGACATGCCAACCTGGCGCAGAAGCACCGCAGCTCTTTCCTAATCCCTCACAGCCCTATTAACATGCCATAGAGGGAGCAAATGCCTCCATGGGACCTTGATGCATTTTTAATGTATTAATTCCACACTTGAGCTCCAGCTCAGCTCCCCAGCACCTGCCCTGCTCATCCTTCCAGAGCAGCTCAGGCCAGGGATTGTGGAGGATGTATTTGCCCTGATGTTGGGGGATGGGGGCTCAGGACAAGGGTGACCCCATCACAGGGGCACTTTTCCCAGGATGATCTCCAACAGCTCCCCTGCAGAAGTGAAAAGACATCAAGGCACATCCCTACAGAGAATCCCAATGGGCCTCAGTTTCCCTTTGATGCTCCCAAGTCAGGAGCAACGTCAGAGTGCCCCACAGCTCCTCTACTCCACCATCCTGCACCCAGCTAGGCGTCTTTAATCTCCTCACCGTAGATACATTTTGGATTACAACTGGACTGTAACCACCAAAATATAAGAGGCTTCGGGGCTTTACAGCATGGCAGCAATGGCTCCTATGAGTTGCAATGCCTTTGCATCCTCAGCAGCTGCATTTGCACCAGCCCGACACCTCCCCGTGCCACAGGAAAGGCTCGTTGCTCCCTTCCAGCCCTTCACACCCTCTCACAGAAGCTAAACTATTCAGACAAAAGGAGGTGGATCTATCGTGAGGAAGCAGGGGGCTCAGCACAGCCAGGGTCCAGCTCTCACACTCGGCTGTACCCTCAGCTCCTCCTCTGCCTGCTGCTGACTTCCACTCTGAATGTTTCAGATGGGTTGGGGGGGGGCGGGGAATTTAATTTTTATTTTAAAAAATTTTAAAACAATAATTCTCAGACCATCTCTGAGCTATTTTAGCAGCAGCTAAACGCCAGCAGCTGCTACCTGCCAGGGAGGGCATCCCAGCATGGGTACCAGCGCTCCTCGGCATGCGCTGCCTCCCCAGCCTCCATCCTAAATCACAACACAACAAACAGGCTGTTCATTAGGCACTGTTTAATTAAGCAATATGGATCCTGCCTCGATATTTACAATCCCACTTGCTCTGATTTATTAGAGAGAGAGTCTCGTTTTTAAAGACGGCGACTGTAAAGTTTAATACCGCTTGACTTACTGCGAGTTTCATTTACAGCCCAGGGCCGAGGTGCTGCAGCCCAGGCTGGGAGCCGGCGGGCTATTAAATCAGAGCTAACTGCGTGTGCAGGGAGATGACTAGCTTTGTTACAACCGGTTCAACAGCTAATTACCCCAGTCTGGATTCCCACATTTAAGCCAATTCGTTGCTGCTTTTCCAGGGCCCTGGGGAAGAGCGGCGAAGTTTGGAGGTTGGCGCAAAGGCACTTGTTGCGATCAGAAGGGATGGGGGCCGTGATGGTGAGAGCAGAGCCCAAAGAGACACTGCTTGTCCCAGGAGGGAAGAAATCAGTTTTTAAGAGGCTAGACTCTGAGCTGGGCACCCCCCATGCCATGCAGCGGGATGCTGTGTACAATGATGGTTCCAAGCTCAAGGGTCACCCCAAAACCCACCGCCTCCTCCCCAAAACCCTTGGGCACCTGGGGAGCCCTGAGGCCAGATGGTGGGATGGCTTGTGGGCTCTAGGATGGGGTGATCAGGGCGGAGGATGGGGCCAGCATGCAGGAGGGCCACATCTAGCCTGGGTCTGAGCATCACACTGGCCAGGCCCTTCTCTCTGCCTCAGCCCCACAGGTAGGCATGGGGGAGCAATGCACAGATGGGGCGGGGGGGGGGGGCACAGCCCTCCCCACAAATTGGCATCTTGTAGGTAGGAGGAGAAGATTTCTCTCCTCGCAAGATATTTCTAGCCCCCAGGAGCCCACTCACAGACTTAACAAGGATAGGGGTCTCATTAAGGAGTTATGAGAATGACACTTTAGTGACAAATAAAAACTATTCGTGCAAAGACGTGATGGCAGATGGTGCTGGGCATCCCCCCACATCAGCTGTGAGGCATCACTGTCCAGGACCTACCTCTGCACGGCCCTGGGGCTCCCCTGGGGGAAGGGGCTGCAGGGGAGATGGGAGAGCACAGAGCTGGTTGCAGCATCCCTCAGCTCAGCCCAGGGACCAGACTGCTGCTGCCCCACGCCATGGCTGGGCACAGGGAAGGGGAAAGGGGGCAGCAGTGCCACGAGCAGAGCTGGACCCCCTGGCAGCCCCCGTGCTGGTGATGAACCAGCCCCTTGCTGCACCGCGGCAGCCCTCCACAGCAGCCCCGGTACCCGTGGTAGGCAGGACGAGGGCTGCAACCCTGCAGCCCCAGGCAGAGGGAACGAAGAGGAGCAGCTCCACAGCCGAGCATCCCAGCCAGCAGCCTCTGTGCAGCAACTTTGCCAGGCCTCAGCCCTCTCCCAGGAGCTGGCTAAGCCTTGGGCAGCATCAACTCCTCCCTGCTTCCCACTCCTCCCCGAGCCTGCAGCGCTCAGAGCCAGGCTCAGAGCTCCCCCCAAGGAGGAACAGGAGGCAACGCAGAAAGACAGGGACAGCAACAAGCAGCATAGGGCTGCCGGCACATCCCCTTCAGCCCCCAGCGTTATGCGCCCCCAGCAGCTGGGGGTCCCCACCAGAGACCCCAAACCTCCCACCCGGGCTCGAGAGCCACGAGGACACAGGCAGAGGCACTTTGCTTTCAGGTTTTATTGGCCGGGGAGGCCGTGCACTCCCAGTCCCACCAGTAAGACTGGACTGGTAAGGAGGGTAAGCCCTTTAGTGGTGGTAGGAGCACTCTGCGGAGGCGGAAGACATAGCCTGGGATGGGGAAGGAGACAGAAGGAACAGCACCGCCTGTGCAAGGATGCCACAGGATTAGGACTGGGGTATCTGAACAGTCCCCAAGTTGGGCCAAGACACAAGGCTCAGAAGCAGCTGGGAGACCAGAAGGCTCACAAGTGACATGAGTTCCCACGCCTCAGCTCTCGCCAGCCCCAGCTGACTGCTCTCCCTGGCCTCACCGAGCACAGCTGAGGGCTGGCTCCGCTGCTCCCCATCATGACATCTCCTTGGCCTTCTGCTTGTAGTGCACCTCAGGGAGGCTCCTGAGGCGCTCAGCTGCCTGCAGGGCACAGCACAAGGGGCAGTCAGCGGCCAGTCCTGGGGACAGCCCTGGCACAGGACCCCCTGGCTCCCCACAGTCCCCCCTCTCTGAGCTGCGCTCACCTGCTCTGGGGTGAGGTCCCGCTGCGCCTGCGCCAGCATCTCATAGCCCACCATGAACTTGCGGACGGTGGCGGAGCGGAGCAGCGGAGGGTAGTAGTGGGCATGGAGCTGCCAGTGCCCACAGTCCTCCTCCAGGTAGGGGCCCGTGGGGGCTCCTGTTGGGGATGCAGCCACTACATGAGCCCCGGGGGGGGGATGCAGATGAGAGAGTTGCCAGGGTCCCCCAGCCACCCCACTCACCATGCCAGCCCATGGAGTAGGGGAAGGAGACTTCGAAGAGGTTGTCGTACTTGATGAGCAGCCTCTGCATGATGGAGGCCAGACCTGCAGGGGAGTGCCGGGGAGTCGCACCCTGAGCTGGCCAGTTTCCTCCAAAGGGAGGCAGCACATGGGGCCTGAGGCGGGGGGGGCCACCCCCAGCACCCCTCCCTGGGTGGACATCAGTGACAGGCAGGGCGGATGCACTTGGCACTTCCCCCCCTCCTCACCCATGCAGACAGCCTGAACAACGTGGCAGGAGGAGCCCTCATTCCTCACCAGCCAGCACCCCAAAAGTATGGGGCATCATGTGCTTCATCACCCCAAAAAGGACACCAGTTCCCCCACCGGTGGACATCCAATTCTTGCCTTGGCAAAACAGGGATGCTAGTGCCCCCCCAGGCTGAGCCTGGAAGCCCCGCACCCCAAGGGGACACAGACGCTCCAGCACCAGCAAGACTGCCACAAAGCTGCCTCCTAATGAAGACCGAGCCCAAAGGATGTGGGACAGGGGCTAACGAGGTGCAGAGCCACTCACTGTCCCTCTCGCCCTCATGGAGGTCCTGGAGGCGGCAGACGGGGCGCCGGGGCAGCAGCAGGGTCTGGTAGGGCCAGGTGGCCCAGTACGGAACCACAACCAACCAGTCCGCGTTCTCCACCACCAGCCGCTCCTGCAGGACACAGCGCTTCATGGGGAGCCCCAACACCCTGGGGATGGGCACTCCCAGGGGCCCTGCTCTTGGTGGCTGGGGGGCCCGCCCCAGCACATATCCAGCTCCCAGGGAGGAGATACGGGCAACAGCCATGTCCTCACCTTTCGGCGAGCCTCCTGCTCAGCATACTCCAGCAGCATGGGCATGCCGTGCTGGCTCAGGTACTGCCGCTGGGTCCGGTCCTCCACACATGCCTCGTTCGGTAGGAAGCTGCTGGCCCACACCTGGGGGGAACATGGGGGCACAGGGCTGGGTTACCCATACCCCGCATTTGCAGAGGTGTCCCAGCCACGCTGCCCATCTGCAGGTCCGTGCTGCCACCAGGTGGAGAGTCCGACATGTGGCAGCCACAAGGGACAGTCCTCCAGAGGGGGGGTGACAGGACAAACATGGGGGTATCCTCGCTGCATAAAGCTTTGGGACCAGGGCAGGTGGATTTCCGTTCACATCTTCCCCCGGGTTTGTTGTAGGGTCACCCACAGGGACTCGTGGTTAAGCCAGGTCATGGGTGGGACAGCCTTACCTGGCAGTGGGGGTGTGGGTTGGAGCAGCCCATCATCGCTCCCTTGTTCTCAAAGATCTGCGGAGGAAGAGGTGCAGCCAGCAGGTCCCAGCCTCAGGGTCCCTGCTGCAGGCTGCTGTGGTGTCCCCGGCACACCAGGAAAGCATCCCACAGGAGAGCAGAGCCTCATACCGCCCTGGAAATACTCAAGAGGGCATGAGGTACAGACAAGGGACCCACACGCGATTGGGATGGTCCCAATCCCAGGTGCTGCCAGAGCACCCAGCCCTGGCCCCCCGCCTCCACCCGAGATCCCCAGGGCAGGGAGAGAAGGGCAGCCCCCACCAGCCCCGGACCTGCACCCAAGGGTAGGAGGCACCCAGCTCGACGGCCAGCTCTGCCCACGCGTCGATGACAGCCCGGATCTCTGCCAGGGACATGAGGGGCAGCGTCAGGTCCGACCAAGGGTGGAAGCACATCACCTTGCTGCAGAGGAGACACGCGTGGCTGGGACTGCAGGGCATCTCTGGGGACCCCCACAGCCCTGCCGGGCGCAGTGGAACAGGGGACAGGGATGAAACCCCAAAATAGAGCAGGCGTGCACAGAACAGGCACCGCAAGGAGGTGAGCAGCCTCAGGCCAGCTTCATCCCATGGGTTCTGGCTGACATGGTGGTCGGGACCCCCTGGAGCCATGGAGGCACTTACCACACACCCCGGGCTGCTGCAGCTTGAAACAAGGGGTGATCGTTGTCACCTGGGCAAGGACAGAGAGTGGGGAGGGAGAGGGTGCTGGGCCAGCACCTACGCCTCTCCAGGCCACCGTGCAGCTCCCCCAGGACCTGAGCTGGGGGGTCCCCGGCAGCCTGCTCTCCCCGCGGAAGTTACCAGGCTCAGGAGCATCGGGCTGCAGTGCAGGGAAGTCATTTGGGAAGACGAAGGTGCCCTCGTACTGGGGGTTCACCTGCCAGGGCGAGAGTCGCGATCAGGGGCAGACGGGGCGGTTGGGGAGCCCGGACGCCTGGGTCCTTGGTGGTACCTTGCCGTTGGCCCGGGTGGCCCCGGGGCAAAGAGGGTTGTTGGGGTCCCAGCGGGGGACATCCTCCGGGGGTGGCTTCTCCAGCTGCCCCTGCCAGGGTCGCTTCACCCGGTGGGCTGACACCAGCACCCAGTCATCCCGCAGCGGGTTGTAACGAGCGTGCTGGTGCTCTGCGGGGAGAGACGAGCGGGGCGTCAGGGAGGAAGGAACGCGGGTCGCAGACCGCCCCCCCCCCATGCCCCCTCCGCGGGTAACCCTGCG